TATGTTGCTGCCACTGAAGCTTTTAAAGAAGCTATTTGTCTTAGGGGCCTTATATCTGAAATTGGTTTTCTTGATAAAAATGTGGTTGTATTTTCTAATAGTCAATCTGCTATTCAACTTTGCACAAATCCTGTTTTTCATCATAGAACTAAACATATTGATGTTAGATTTCATTACATTCGGGATATAATTGAAAAGGGTATTGCCAAGTTAGAGAAAATTTCCTCAGAATTTAATCCTGCTGACATGGATACTAAGTGTTTGCCTGCTGAAAAATTTATCTCGTGTCAAAGAATCTTGAATTTCGACTTTGGGTAACTTTTTCTTTGCTTTGTGTGTTGCCTTTGTGGCCTATTAACTTGCTTTTTGCTTGTTAGTAGCTTTGTGATTTTTCCCTTTGAACTCGATGACCATTTGGTAGAGTTCGGTCCTTTGTGGACTTAGCATGCTTGGTGATCTTGCCCCGATCTGTGTAATCTGAGTTTACTTTGTGTATTCTCTTCCATTGCTTGTATCTTCTTTGTGATCATACATGTAATGGTTTGGCGATGATGAGTCCCGCAGTTCCGTGTTTTTCTCAGTGCACTATCTTGGGCCAAAGGTGGAGATTGTTGCTATTTTAGTTGGCCCAACATCTAGCACATTTGCTACCAGGCCCAGTTCCCACTTTTTTATTCCCTCGCCCTAACCCATCTCTGATCTCTTGGTCCCCAAAGTCGGCTACCCCTCCCCCTTTATGAAAACACAGAAGTAGTTGATCTCTAAGTGAGACAGTGAGAAGAAAAACCCTAGCTTTGTGCTCTGGAGCTTTGTGCAATCCTCTCCCTCTTCTTCGTGCCTATTCCATCCATTGCTTTGTGCGATCCCCCTTTCCTCTTTGTGAGTGATTTAAGGAGAAGATCAGCGAGCTTCCCCTTGTGTCCTTGGTGGTGCATAGAAGAGAAGAAACAGAGACTGGTTGAGCAGGCTTCTGAGCCAAACAGTGACGACCAAGATCCTTTACACAACTATTTGTTTTTAATTTTCTTCAAACTATATCAAGGAGAAAGTCTAGCTTCTTACCAAAACATTCAAACAGTAACTCAGAAGTACATAGATATTATTTTCAACAATTTCATGAACAGAGAGACATCATATCATATATTCAACAAAGTTCCCCTGACTTTAGTTTCATTTTTATTTACAACAACAATCATAAACAAAATCCAATGACAAACATATAACCCAGAAGGGCCATAGCAATCAGCCAAATATAACAGAGAACCTGCAGATAAAATGACGAAATAGATTATAATAAAAAGATAAAATTGCATAATATGTACTCAATTTAATGTGGAATCATGCAACTCAACTCTTGATTCTCAGAGATATGCGAGATTCTCTGCTCCCTAAGGTGTTGGATATTGATCCTAAATTGTCAACTCAAAAAAATAAAGAAAAAAATGTGTACATGCCCCAAAAGCAGAAACTTCATGTGACGAGGCTCCTCATAGTTTTTCCCATATGAATCAGACCCTTGATGTATGATACTTTGTACTGTAGCCCTTTTTTTTTTATCAATTATTACATGCCAGCTAAGCTAAAATCCCCAAATTATCCTTATCCTTTCTCCTCAATCTCTCAGACCAGCAATCATATCATCTTTCTCTCTCATCTCCTCTCTCTCTCTCTCTCTCTCTCTCTCCTCTCTCTAAAACTAAGAGCTTTCTCAAGCTCGTCAACCTGGCCCTCACCCTCCTCGCCGTTGTCGTCTCCGCTCAGGCCCCCAAAGCTCCCCTCGAGTTTGCCGCCGCCTCCCCTCCTCTCTAAAACTAAGAGCTTTCTCAAGCTCGTCAACCTGGCCCTCACCCTCCTCGCCGTTGTCGTCTCCGCTTAGGCCCCCAAGGCTCCCCTCGAGTTTTCCGCCGCCTCCCCTTCCCTCCTCCACCCGTCCTCGTCGTCGTAGATCGCCATCGCCGTAGAGCGCCGCCGTCGAGACGCATAGAGCATTAATCCATTAGCTAGAAGAAGAAAAGAAAAAAAGAAAAAAATGTTTGACCAGCTACAAATAAATGAACGATTTAATTTTAAAAAATAGTCAAAAGTTGTCCCCATTTTTCCACTTTCACGAGACATCCACGCCTTTTTGGAGGAAACTGAATTTACAATAAACCTAATGTGCGCAGTCTTTTTGTATTTTAATTTCGAACAAAATTTTAAAATAGACCATTTTAAAAACTTAATTAGCAAAATAGGCTGAAAAAATATTTAATTACCAAAAATCGTTGTAAGTTGGGACGGTAGTTATAAATGAGGATACAGTCATGTTTTTATAAATCGTTGTTAATTATATTTGATAATAGTTATACCTAATGATATGTTATTTCTAGATGCTATCATGATAGTTCTTGTAGCCCTCGAGTTAGTTCTAGCTTCTATTACCCTAGTTCTAGCTTGTATACAGTCAGTTCTAGCCCACACATTGCTAGTTCTAAACCAAGCCCGCGTTTTTTACAAGCAAACTTATTAATTCTAGCTTCTACGTTAGTTTTAGCTTCTATTATCCTAGTTCTAGCTTATATACAGCCAGTTCTAGCCCACACATTGCTAGTTCTAAACCCAACAAGGGTTTTTTACATGCACACTTGTTAATTCTTGCTTCTACGTTAGTTCTAGTTTCTATTACCCTAGTTCTAGCTTGTATACAGCCAGTTCTAGCCTACACATTGCTAGTTCTAAACCCAACAAGGGTTTATTACATGCACACTTGTTAATTCTTGCTTCTACGTTAGTTTTAGCTTCTATTATACTAGTTCTAGCTTGTATACAGCCAGTTCTAGCCCACACCTTGCTAGTTCTAAACCCAACAAGAGTTTTTTACATGCATACTTGTTAATTCTTGCTTCTACGTTAGTTCTAGCTTCTATTACCCTAGTTCTAGCTTGTATACAGCCAGTTCTAGAACACGGACTGGGTTTAGAACTAGAATTAACAAGTGTGCATGTAAAAAACCCTTGTTGGGTTTAGAACTAGCAAGGTGTGGGCTAGAACTGACTGTATACAAACTAGAACTGACTGTATACAAGCTAGAACTAGGGTAATAGAAGTTAGAACTAACGTAGAAGCTAGAATTAACAAGTTTGCTTGTAAAAAACGCGGGCTGGGTTTAGAACTAGCAATGTGTGGGCTAGAACTGGCTGTATACAAGCTAGAACTAGGGTAATAGAAGCTAGAACTAACGTAGAAGTAAGAATTAACAAGTGTGCATGTAAAAAACCCTTGTTGGTTTTAGAACTAGTAAGGTGTGGGCTAGAACTGGCTGTATACAAGCTAGAACTAGGGTAATAGAAGCTAGAACTAACGTAGAAGCAAGAATTAACAAGTGTGCATGTAAAAACCCTTGTTGGATTTAGAACTAGCAAGGTGTGGGCTAGAACTGGCTGTATACAAGCTAGAAATAGGGTAATAGAAGCTAGAACTAACGTAAAAGCTAGAATTGACAAGTTTGCTTGTAAAAAAAGTGGGCTTGGTTTAGAACTAGTGTGGGCTAGAACTGACTGTATACAAGCTAGAACTAGGGTAATAGAAGCTAGAACTAACTCGTGGGCTACTAGAACTACCACGATAGCATCTAGAAATAACATATCATTAGGTATAACTATTATCAAATATAATTAACAACGATTTATAAAAACATGAATGTATTCTCATTTATAACAACGATTTATAACTACCGTCCCAGCTTACAACGATTTTTGGTAATTAAATATTTTTTCAGCCTATTTTGCTAATTAAGTTTTAAAAATGTCTATTTTAAAAATTTGTTCGAAATTAAAATACAAAAAGACTGCGCACATTAGGTTTATTGCAAATCCAGCTTCCTCCAAAAAGGCATGGATGTCTCGTGAAAGTGGAAAAATGGGGACAACTTTTGACTATTTTTTAAAATTAAATCGTTCATTTATTTGCAGTTTGTCAAACATTTTTTCTTTTTTTTTCTTCTTCTAGCTAATGGATTAATGCTCTGTGCGTCTCGACGGCGACGATCTACGACGGGGGAGCGGCGGCGATCTACGGCGACGAGGACGGGTGGAGGAGGGGAGGGGAGGCGGCGGCGAACTCGAGGGGAGCCTTGGGGGCCTGAGCGGAGGCGGCAACGACGAGGAGGACGAGGGTCAGGTTGACGAGCTTGAGAAGCCTAAGGGCGAGGAGAGAGCGGAGGAGGCGAAAGGGGGGGAGGAAGAGAGAGAGAGAAGAATGAGCGGCGAGGTTGTGAGATGAAAACGAGAGAGAGAGAGAGAGAGAGAGAGAGGAAGATGATATGATTGCTGGGTCTGAGAGATTGAGGAGAGAGGATAAGGATAATTTGGGGATTTTAGCTTAGCTGGCATGTAATAATTGATAAAAAAGGGCTGCAGTACAAAGTGTCACACATCAATGGGCTGATTCACATGAGGAAAACTATAAGGGGCCTCGTCACATGAAGTTTCTGTTTTTGGGGCCTATACATATTTTTCCCAAAAAATAATAATAAAATAATAATAAAATTGATCATTAACATATTTTTTAAAGGGCTTAATATCAGAACCACACCACCACGATGATTAACAGATAACCTCCCATAACTTTTAAAATATCAGAAACACCCCCTTTAGTTTATGGGTGATCAGAAAACTCCCTTTAACTTTAAGATATTATAATAACTCCCCTAAAAATGTGAATCACAATTTTCATTGGAAAAAATATCCTCCGACATAATTTTACCCACACATGTGAAAACTGTGGTGAAAAATTCTCTCCCGTTAGTTCATCGTCCACCTCATGGCTAAAGGTAAGAAAACAAGAAAGATAAACTATCGGAATACTTGGCAATCTTTGCTCTAGGAAACAAAAGTTTCCATCAATATTGACAGTTGAAATAACACTGAGAACATTCTCAACATATCAACAAAAGTTTACATCAATACTTGACATTGAAATAGCACCGAAAACATTCTCAATATATCCCTTCTTTTTTACTTTTAACTTACTAAAAACAAGAAAACAATAAGTATAAATAATTCTCTTCGTAAACAATATCACATAACGTCTATTACCGAAATCTTTCCAATTTAGTCAGTTGCAGTGAACGACATAAAGAAATCAGAGGTAGCACTGAAGTAGCATTTTAATGAAAAAGTTCATTCCAACTTCAGCCAGTTTCATGTGAGTGTAGCTGAATTCATAAAGTCCTCAAACCTGCAATTTCTTTGAAGAAGATGAAGAAAATCTTAAGAAGAGAACTTTCTGCCCATGGCTTTTGCTTCTTCCCTCATGCCGACAAATTTAAGCTGAGAGTACCTTTGTTTCTCAATAGAATAAGTCAAGTTGAAGTCTTGCAAAAATCTCAGCAAAGGCTTCAGCATTTCCTTTGGTATATCACCTCTAAACTCAGAAGCAGATTGGTTTTGCTCCAAGCAATCAGAAGAGAGAGAAACCGAAATTTCGATTTCTCTAGTCATCTCCAATTTTAACAGCACTGAGTGCAAATTTTTGATAGACGGCAAGACTGAGCTCCATAAAGGCTCAAGCTTTTTGTAGCAGAGGACACCCTTGCCTACAGAAATGCTAGTGATTTTGGTGTTTGGTGATTGGAAGATGACACGGGATTTCAGCCAATTCTCCGCTTCTAAAACAGAGGAGGAGATTTTGGGGATGTCTGCTTCACTTACAGAGACTTCAATGGTGGTTTGTTTTAGTTCTTGGAAACTCATCAGCTTAAGGACTTCAGTTTCTGCACATTTAATTAGATAATATTTTAGCAACAAAAAAGACATAGATGTATTAAAGAGAGAGAAATTTTGATACCATTGAAGCCCAAGAGAGGGAGAAGGGAGAATGCGAGGTAAAAGCCCACCATTGTCTGCAAATTTTTGTGGAGTTGGAAAATGGAGTATAGAGTTTAAGAAATAGGATAGAAGAGGAAATTGCTGAAGAGCTTTCTTCAGGGAGTAGGAAACTTCCTTCTTTTTGTTTCTAGCTCGTTTCGCTTTTACGACTGCCATTATAATATGTATCACTCTGCTGATATACATAAGAACACATGAGCTTCGTCTCCACCCTATCAAGAAATGTCATGTACCATTAGGTATTTTACAGTATAAGTTTATTTGATGCATATGGTATACTAAAATACGTCTTTCGAGTTTTTGGATGGTTGTATATTATCTGTGATTGTATTCACATTGTGCATGCGTGTATGGTTGTATGTTCATTTGTTTTGAGAGTGATGTCGAATTCGGAAGTAGATTATACGGCCAAAATTTATAATATCAAACGGGCTCGCTGGACTAGCTACTGATATGACATTCCTAAGAGAAAGTCATACACAAATGAAATTTCCCAAAAAAAGAATATCTATCATCCTGGCGCAAATGGTTCTCTCCCCCCTAGCGGTAAAAACCCCCGGAAACGGCCAGCCTCCGTACTTGGGCGAGAGCTCTGGCCTCCGTACTCGGACGAGAGCACATAGCTTTTGTTCAGATGAAGAAGGTTGCCCAAATAATACTACTGATAAAATAGTAGCAAAAATAATTATCTCTCTATTTCTTTTTTTTTTCTTTCTTTCTCTTCTTTTCTTTACTTCTTCTTTTCTCTGTACGTGAGCAGAGAGTTTTGAAGAGAGCATTGATTAAGAGATTAGAGGAGAGAAGTTTAGAGAGAATGATGGTGGATTAAGAGAAGAATTGGGCTCTGTGCTTCTTCTTTTAGAAAGGGATTAAAGGGATGCTTAAGTAGGGAGAGAAGTGAGAACGGATGGTGGAGAGGGTTAAGGAGAAAAAAGTGGGTTAGTTGAGATATTTTAGAGAATTAGATTAAGTCAATTTGACTTTTTTAAAAAATATCCAACAGCCCCGCTAAAAAGCAATATTGACCGAAAACTAAAAATTAATAAATAAATCAATAAATCACAAAATAAATTAGGTTGGGCAACTATTCGTATCGTGAATTCGGGAGAGGTAGCTTCCGGCTTTGAACATTTTCTTGGTGAGTTCATCGCCACCTGCGGGACATAATGAACTAAGCCTTGAATTAGGCCCCTTGAACCAGGTATTAACGAAAACACACACAATACGTCTTTATCTATTGAGCAAAATGGGTTGAGCGTTAAAGGTCATGCTCACAATAACCTATTAGCCCTTATGTTTTGATGATGTTTTACAACCACCATTATCAGTACTAATGGCTTAGTGAGTGCAAATGTAGTGAATTCATATATCAAGCTTGTTAGTGCCATCAATGGAGGATTGGATGGAATATGCGCTATAACGATGATATCCAAAGGAGGAGGAGGCATAGTGATGAAGCAACGTTATTTTAAGAACACCAAATTCAATTAGAAGCTTCATCCAACTCAAGCTATATCAAGACTCAAGAATTGTATTCTCGTGAGGATATTAGCTAGTTTTTTATTTTCTCTCTAGTGCTAGAATGTAGGCAAATAGTTTAGATTTCATTTGAAGCTATTGGGATATCAACACACACGTTTTCATACTTATAGTTTTGAACGTATTTCACAAAATACTATTTTTTATAAGTATGAGGACCTATTTGCAAAATTCCTTTTCCAAACAATTTGTTTTTAGTATTAAAAACATTCTACAAAGTTTCACAAATTTCAGAGGTCAAATGAATATTTTACAAATATTTTAAGTGAGTCAATAATCAGGTTTTGAGTGTATCAGATTGCGGTCGACCGCCACGGTCGATCGCGCCTGAGCTCACTCGTCAGTGAGCAACAGAAACTTTCACGGTCGACCGCCACGGTCGACCGTGAGCTAAAAATTTCCCACGGTCAACCGCCACGGTCGACCGCGAAAGTCTCTGGACTTTTGGTAAGTTTCTGAACTGCCTCGCGGTCGACCGCGAAAAAGTCACGGTCAACCGTCGATTGTTTTAAACGGTAATATGGTACAGTTTTTTAGCGTCGATTTCACATGATCTCAGTGCTGTTCTGTTTCCAGATTTTTGGGGATTGGGTATGGGTTTCAAACAGCTGTGTTTTCTATTTAAACCTATCTTCTTCTTCTTCCTCTGCGTCCCAGATCTTTTTCAAAATCTTTCAGAGAACGTTTTTACAGAGCTTCATTTTCAAACCAGTTTCTTCTGAGTTTTTATGTTTCACATCCCAGCTTCAGTGTTATCTTCTCTTTACCATAGGGACATTGTAAAGAGAGGATTCTTACACCATTTCTACTATTTTGAGAGCTTGGTCTTGTGTAGATCAATTGTGTGGGAGTGTGATCTAGTGAGATCAACTGTGTAGTGTGAGATCGTGAGGGGATCGCTGTGTAGAAGAAGTTCCGGCTTCCAAACCGGGTTATGTAGTGGATTTCTCCTCGAGAGTGGGGAGCGGGGACGTAGATCAGCGGACCGAACCTCGTTAACACATCGCGCGTCACAGGATAACGATTCCTAACTCTATCTCCTCTATTTTGATTGCATTTGGATATTGTGTTTTGTTTGTCTTAATTTTATTGCACTATTATAGCCTTGTGACCCTAATCACCCCCCCTCTAGGGTCTAACAATTGGTATCAGAGCTTGATCGCTATATTAGTTTTTGGTTTAATCACCTTAGAGAAAAGATCTTATGGAGGCTTCAATGAATGTGCATATGCTAGAGGGACAATCCACAACTAGACCATCACTTTTCACCGGTAGTAATTTTGCTTATTGGAAGGCTAGGATGAGGATTTATCTTCGTTGCATTGACCTTGACATTCTAGAACTCAAAGAGAAAAAATATGTAGAAAAGCCCAAAGTTGGGACTATGACCGATAGAGAAAGGTACCAAGCCAATCTTAATGCAAAGGCTATGAATGCCTTAATTTGCGGTCTTTCCCGTAATGAGTATAATAGGATTTCTACATGTGCAACCGCATACGAAATATGGGTGAAATTATGTATTACACATGAAGGAACCCCCCAAGTTAAGGAATCCAAAATTAGTGGGCTCATGCATGAATATGAGTTATTTCAAATGCTTCCAAATGAATCAATTGATGCTATATTTTCTCGCTTCACTAACATTACCAATGAATTGCATGGTCTTGACAAGAAATTGACTATTCAAGAGACGAACTACAAGATTCTCCGTTCATTAACTCCGATGTGGGAACCCAAGGCAACGGCGATAGAAGAAGCTCATGACCTTACCACTCTACCTCTTGATGGCCTCATCGGCAAGCTCAAGGTTTATGAGAAAAAGCTCAAGGGAAAGGAGAAGGAGGAAGTGCCCTCACGGAAAGTTGAGGAGCCATCACCAAAATTGAAGACCATAGCTCTCAAAGAAGCTAGTAATAACTCCTCTTCGTCATTGGATAGTGAAGTTAATTTTTCTAGAGAAGTGGCTCATATCTCTAGAAGAATTTCTAGAATCATAAAAATAAACAAGAAATTTAACCCACGATCTAACAACAAATTTTCTTCACGTGTAGGAAAATGTTTTGAATGCAATGAACCGGGCCATATCGCTAAGGATTGCCCAAGGCTCAAGGAGAAGTACATGAAATACAAGAAGAAGAAGGCTATGTATGCCGGATGGGAGGAATCCGAACCAAGTGATTCGGATAGTAATGAAGAATGAGCTAAACTTGCTCTTCATGATCCCAACGTTTGCTTCATGGCCCTTGAACATGAGGTAATATCCGACACCGAGAGTGAATCCTTTTACATGCAATGTGATCTAGCTACGGCTCTAGAAGAATTAAACATTGAATTTAAAAGAATGTCAAAGGAATTTTCTTCTTTTAAAAAGTTGCATGCTTCTTGTGATGTGAAACTAGAACAACTAGAAACCTTTCTTGCTTTAAAAGATGAATTGTTAGGAGATCTCGATTTCGAGAATAAGCAATTAAGATCCAAGATTGAAAGACTAGAAATTGAGAGTGGTAGGATTAGACCAACTCATGCTTATGCTAATCATCATCACCATGGTAGAAATAGGTTTCATGGTTCTCATACTCATACATACAAAAGAAATTTTGTATGCACATATTGCATGAAACATGGTCATATTTCTACTCATTGTAGAATTAAAGATAATTATGAATTTTATAGATTGACATGGTTTAGGCGTATAAAATTGCTTATAGGTCCCTTAGCACAGCTCGGCATAAACCGACGAACCAACGAGGCGACAAAGTTGACGAATCGCACGCAAGCAACGGAATACATCCATTCGCGTGTAGAATCAAGCCAAGGGTTCGAAGAGTCAACGAGTCATCCAACCAAGGGCAGACTCGGACGAATCACGATCGAATCAAGATCAGTTTCGGACTCGAACTCAGAAGTGGATTTACTGCCTAATCAGGAATCGGATCTACTGCCAAATCAAATCAACAAATCAGAGTCCGAATCAACCACGAAACCGGACAAAACAACAAAACCCAACACCTAAGGGGGGGCTCGGCCAAAGCCGAGCCACCCATGGGTGGCTCGGCCCAGTGCCGGCCACCCATGGGTGGCCGACCCGGATCTGTGCGCGGGCACAGTTCAGAGAGCCTATAAATAGGCTCCCCTTTGTTCATTTGAAAAGGTTGGAACTTTGAGAGCCGAAACTCTGCCGAATTGAAGATCGAGCTTGGAGTTTTGAAGACTTGAGGACTTGAAGATTCAGATCTGATTCTCGGCGAGCATCTACAAAAGGCAGGAGTTCGAGAGAGGTAAAGATCAGATCTGAGATCTACACGAGATCACACTCCGGATCAAAGCTTGGCCTTTGATCCCGAGATTTGGGCGATTGTTTCCTTGGTGAACCAATCCCCCCCCGACTATTATTTTCTTTGCGAAATAATACCCGTCGAATCGTGTAGATCTGACCGGATCTAGATCGCGCGGTGGTCTACGGATTAACCCCGGTGTTGGCAAAGAACCCACACAAGCAAGAGACCGCAAAACAGGATCTTGCGA